CTGTAACAATAGATTTACTGATTAGTTTGAGAGGTTTGTTTTGTACCCTTAACATAAAAACCAAAGGGTCTGTGACATTAACTATCACACCATTGTATTGCTTAGAACACACCGGAGGTTGCCAACACCAGTTCTATTCAATAGGTTGTACAAATCAAAATATAGAACTAAATATAGTAAATGTGATCAATAATGATTGCTAATTCATAAAACACTGAATTTAAACTGCAAACAGATACATTGCTACAGCAGACAGCTTGGGCAAACAGGAAGAATGTCTCTCAACATTACTGAAGGGTTACCTATACAAAATAAGACTTTATGCAACAAAAAACCACCTTTTTCAACTTTCAGCCATTTTAATTTTACATACGAGTAATTAGAAAAATAATTACGGTACTATCAATTAGCATTTTCCTGTTGCTACGGCCCGTTTCCAATCCCTGTATGTATACTCTATATTATCTATGCTAGCCCCGCCTAGTCTACATTTGAAAATACGCCTTTAATGGCTGAATCAGTTTTGGAACCTATTTTTAGTGGAAGGACTTTAAGTGAGTGTAGAATTATAATAATTTTATTGTATTATGATTGCTATAGACATTAGAGATCTTAATGAAGTGATTGCATCACTTGAGAAGCATCACTACAGCAAGATATCATATCATCAACTTGGTCTACGTCTTAAATTGTCTCACAATACTCTAGAGAAAATAAAGAAAGACCATGGAGAAGTTGATCCTTGTTTTACAGAGTGTTTGGCTAGCTGGCTGCGTAAAGCTGATGATGTGGAGACTCCAACAATAGATACACTGATAGCTGCTTTTAGAGGAATAGGAGAGAATGCTGTAGCTGATGGTATTAATGAAGAAAGACAAAGTGAATAAATTTGAAGCTTAATAATTTTAATGTTAATTTTTTATGACATTTGTTCCTATACTAGTATCGGCCCGCCCCTTCACACCGACAAGTGAAATATCAAATAGACCAATATTAGCTACACCTCTGACAATGCAAACCAGTGAAGGTTAGATATTTGATATAGTTAATGATGAATCATGTATGAGCATTATTAAGCCCAATTTATAATATAAACATAACACTAGGCATACTGTCAAATAGTGTGTCATGTATGAGCATAGTTTCGCCCCGCCCCTTCACTACCTGCGAAGGAAGGGTCTGGAGACACTCACGCAAAAAGTGTGTGCAAAGAAGAACACATGGTTGGTTCTATGTCATATGACAGAAGAGACCAGATTAGTCAAGACAGCTTAAACAGATGCTTTGCAGCTAATAAAAGATGAGGATACAGTTTCTTGGACATCTCTATAGATTTGAGAGCAGCAACTTCATAGAGCATCATAGT